TTGGCCTGGCCCAGCCCTGGCTGTTGCAGGCATTTAAGGAGTGAACCAGTAGATGGAAGATCTCTCTCTCTCTCACTCACTCACTCACTCTGCCTTTCAAATAAATAAATCTTTATAAAACTATAAGAAAATATGTGTCTCAGATAAGGGCTAATGCCTCAGAAGAGGAAGAGAGGACTTTGGAGTCATCAAGAAGATCCTTGTTGGAGCCAGCATTATGGTGCAGTGAGTTAAGCTGCTACCTACAGCACCAGATGTTCTCTTGCTCTCTCTCTCTTTCCCTCTCTCTCTGCCTCTCCCTTTCTGTAACTACCTTTCAAATAAATAAATAAATAAATAAAAATTCTTTTTTAAGAAAGAATGAAAGCGGGGCCAGCACTGTGGCATATTGGGTAAAACCACTGCCTGCAGTGCCAGCATCCCATATGGGCACCAGTTTGAGTCCCAGCTGCTCCCCTTCTGATCCAGCTCTCTGCTATGGCCTGGGCGAGCAGTAGAAGATGGCCCAAGTCCTTGGGCCCCTGCACCCATGTGGGAGACCAAGAGAAAGCTCCTGGCCCCTGTCTTGGGATCGGCACAGCTCTTGCCTTCATGGCCATCTGGAGAGTGAACCAGAGGGTAGAAGACCTCTCTCTCTCTCTCTCTGCCTCTGCCTTTCAAACAAACAAATCAATCAATCCTAAAAAAAAAAAAAAAAAAAGCAAACAAGCAAGCTAGCTCTGTTGGGGCTGATGTTGTGGTTAGCGGGTTACATTGCTGCCTGTGACTCTGGCATCCCACATTGCTTCTGATCCAGCTCCCTGCTGATGTGCCTGGGAAAACAGCAGACAATAGACTAAGAACTAGGGCCCATGCCACCCCTGTAGAAGACCCAGATGGAATTTCTGGTTTCTGGTTTTGACCTGGCCTTGCCCTACTGCCTCTCTCTCTCTGTAACTCCATCTTTCAAACAAATAAATAAATCTTAAAAAAAAAAAAAAAGTTCTTGTTGGAGATCCTGAGTTTAACTGGGACTGGAGATACAGACAGTGTTTGGCTGAGCGAAGAGGAGGAAGATACTCTAGGTGGAGGGAATAGCTTTGGGGAAGAGTGGTTAGAAGGTTGTGTCAAATCTGGGGAGTAGGGAGGAATCTGGTTTGAGTAGCTGGCTGGGTAGTCTCACTTTTACAAAACAAGGAGGGTTATGCTCCATTTCAAAAGCAAACATCCTCTTGTGAGTCTTTGAAATAGAGAAGTCAAGGGAAAAAATTGACTGTGGTTTGGGACACAAGACTGAGGTGACAGGGTCACCCAAAGAAGCACTCAACAGAAAGTGGGAAATGCAACATTGAAACTTTAGAAACAGCTTTGAATGGAGGACACAGGGCATTTTAAAAAAGCTTTACTTATTTGATTTTTTTAAAGATTTTTTATTTATTTATTTGACAGGTAGAGTTACAGACAGTGAGAGGGAGAAACAGAGAGAAAGGTCTTCCTTTCGTTGGTTCACCCCCCAAATGGCCGCTACAGCCGGAGCTACGCCAATCCGAAGCCACGAGCCAGGTGCCTCCTCCTGGTCTCCTCCGCGGGTGGAGGCACCCAAGCACTTGGGCCATCCTCCACTGCCTTCCTGGGCCACAGCAGAGAGCTGGACTGGAAAAGGAGCAACTGGGGCTAGAACCCGGGGCCCATATGGGATTCCGGCACTGCAGGCGGAGGATTAGCCAAGTGAGCCATGGCGCCGGCCCTATTTGATTTTTTTAAAAAAACATCTATTTATTTATTTGAAAGGCAGAGCTACAGAGAGACAGAGAGAGAGAGAGAGAGAGAGAGACAGAAACAGAGAGATCTTCCACCCACTGATTCATTCCCCAAATGGCCAGGGTGAGGCAGGCCAAAGCCAGAACTCAGAAGCTTGGGCCAGCTTCCATTGGTTTTCCCAGGCCATTAGCAGAGAGCTGGATTGGAAGTGGAGCAGCCAGGACTTGAACCAGCACCCAAATGGGATGCCAGAGCTGAAGGCAGTGGCATTTACTCACTATGCCACAGTGCTGGCACCAAGATCTATTTATTTGTAAGGCAGAGGGACTGGCGCTGTGGCATAGTGGATAAAGCCACTGCCTGCAGCACCAGCATCCCATATGGACGCTGGTTTGAAACCCGACTGCTCCATTTCCTATCCAGCTCTCTGCTGTGGTCTGGGAAAGCAGTAGAGGATGGCCCAAGTGCTTGGGCCCCTGCACCCATGTGGGAGACCCAGAGGAAGCTCCTGGCTCCTGTCTTTGGATCAGCACAGCTCCAGCCATTGCGGCCATCTGGGGAGTGAACCAGCAGATGGAAGACTTATTTCTCTTTCTCTGCCTTTCCTTCTCTCTCTGAGTAATTATAACTTTCAAATAAATAAATAAATCTTAACAACAACAACAACAACAAAAAAAAAAAAAAAGAAAGAAAGGCAGAGTGACAGAGAAAGAGGGAGAGACACAGAGAGAGATTTTCCACTTGCTGGTTCACTCCCCAAGAATGCAATAACCAGGACAGGACCAAGCTGAAACCTGAAACTCCATCTGGCTCTCCCACTGGGTAGCAGGGACACAAGCACTTGGGCTACCATCCACTGCCTCCTAGGAACATTAGCAGGAAGCTGGATCAGAACAGCTGGGACCCAAATCAGCACTGCAATATGGGATGCAGATACCTCAAACAGCAGCTTAACCAACTGTACTACAAGGACTGTCTTTGGCAGATACAGGTCTGAGACTCATCAAGGCAGAAAGATGATTGAAGCCCAGAATGATAAGTTAGAGATATAAAGGGGCTGGAGATATAAAGCAGAGAGCTTGAAAGAGTCATGAGGGGGCTGGCGCTGTGGCATAGCAAGTAAAGTTGCTTCCTGTGGCGGTGCTGGCATCCCATATGGGCGCCGGTTCGAGTCCTGGCTGCTCCACTTCCAATCCAGCTCCTTGTTAATGTGCCTAGGAAAGCAGCATAAGATGGCTCAAGTGCTTGGGCCCCTGCATCCATGTGGGAGACCCAGAAGGAACTCCTGGCTCCTGGCTTTGGGTGGGCGCAGCTCTGGCTGTTGCAGCCATTTGGGGAGTAAACCAGAGGATGGAAGACCTCTCTCCCTGTCTCTCTCTGCCCTTCCTTCTCTCTCTGTGTAACTCTGACTTTCAAATAAATCTTTTTTTTTTTTTTTTTTGACAGGCAGAGTGGACAGAGAAAGAGAGAGACAGAGAGAAAGGTCTTCCTTTTGCCGTTGGTTCACCCTCCAATGGCCGCCGTGGCCGGTGCATCGCGCTGATCCGAAGCCAGGAGCCAGGTGCTTCTCCTGGTCTCCCATGCAGGTGCAGGGCCCAAGGACTTTGGCCATTCTCCACTGCACTCCCGGGCCATAGCAGAGAGCTGGCCTGGAAGAGGGGCAACTGGGACAGAATCCGGTGCCCCGACCGGGACTAGAACCCGGGATGCCGGCGCCGCAAGGCAGAGGATTAGCCTATTGAGCGTGGCGCTGGCCATAAATAAATCTTAAAAAAAAAAAAAAAAAGGAGGAGGAAATGGAGCAGCCGGGACTGGGGACTGGATCTGGTGCCCATAAGTGATGCCAGTGCTGTAGGCTGGGGCTTTAACCCACTGCGCCACAGTGAGCACTATGCTTTTAAAGCTAGAATTCCTTTGCTAACAATAACGTGCATCCTTACCTCTACACACACACACACACACTTACAGTGAGAAGCTCTCCTCTTAAGCTTTTTTTCAGAATTGAGTGAGCCATACCTCATCCAACCCCATAGAAGATGGGGAAGGAGGTGGTTGGGGACACTATCTGGGCATGTGTACAAACGGCTTCTCTGACTCCCTTTTGCCTTCTTTTGTCTCCTTATTACTCTGCAAAGCTTCCCATTAGAGGGTTGTACGTTGTTTTCTAGAAATACTTATTAACTCCTGGTCATACACTGTAATTTCCCAATTGTCCCTGGGACTTAATGTCTCTAATTAGAATTTCAAGTTACAGAATATCTTTCAGGAACTATTTTTAGTATAATTTAGAGTTCAACATATTATTAGGGAAACAGAGTTACAAATAAAGTAGCCTAAGGTATGTATGAGGTGGGGATTTGGCATAGTGGTTGAGACTCTACTTGGGATGCCTGCCTTCCACATCTGAGTGCCTGGGTTTGTGTCTAGGCTCCATTTCTTATTCCAGCATCCTGCTAATAACACTCACCTTCGGCAGGCAGCAGGTGATGGGTCAAGTAGTTGGGTCGTTGCCCTGCCATGAGAGGAGAGCAAGATTGAGTTCCTGGTTCCTGGCTTCAGCCTGGCCCAGCCCTGGCTATTGAGGGCATTTGGGGAGTGAACCAGTAGGTGGGAGATGTTTCTCTGTCTCTGCCTCCTTCTCTCTCCATATCTCTTTACCTTTTGAAAAAAAAAAAAAAAGACGACAAAAAATGAATAAAAAGCATTACAAAATTTGTCTCCATTCGCTTTTGAAGAGACTGGCAGGATTACAAAGATGGAGATGGCGCTCTGTTTTTCTCACTTCTCATCTGTTTTGGACCACAGGCTCCATCCTGATTTAGGAGTCGTTCCTGCTCAGCATTTCAGTGATAACTCTCCCCATGGTCTACAGGATCCCTGTTCTCCTTGTTTCTATAGCAACAGTCCTGTGTTGCTTGGCTAGAAGCAATTTTCTGCTGCTGTGGTGAAGCCCCATTTTTTCATTCCTTTCTTCCCAGTTGCCTTGGAAACCAGTCTCTTCCTCTTCTGGTCTCCCAGTGGTAAATTCCACCCCCACCCAACCACCCCCCTTCTGTTTTTCTTTCTAGTAACAGTCACCTGCTCCTGACTTGGACAGTGCTAGCCCATCTGTGAGTGAGCATACTCTGTCATAGTCAGATTGTCATCATGAAATCAGCCGCCCCTTTGCTTTATTTGCATGATTTCTCTGGTCTGCCATCTTTCTAGTGGTTGTCATGGCAACTGTACCCTCTGAAAGTCTCCAGGCAAAGGCTCTACAGTTAACAACCATCATGTGAGAGTGTCTGCCAATATGTGGCCACACATCTCCATTTTAAACCTGGTCCCAGGCGGGTACCACAAATGGGAGAAAACAGGGCTTTTGATCGAAGTAGGCTGGATGGAGACTCAGAACTGGGACCTGGTGTTTATCAGACAATGTATGTGTTTATGAGGTTTAGATTGGGTCTGTAAGAGTGACCATTATTCCAAGGATAATTCAAGTGACTGAGAGATGTACTCCTGTTGACAGTTATTCCCGGCAGCCTAATCAAGGGACGCTGGTCTGACCAGAGAGCAGGAAGAAAGCAATTAGAACTCTTAAATTGACTAACAAGGGGTTAGCACAATAGGTACTTAAGCACTTTTACACATCACTGAAAATTTCTCTGTCTTTAGGCTATTGTTCTCACCTCTTTACCAAGGCAGATGGGATGTCACCATCATAATAAAACGAAGTATTCAACAAATGGTAGTTGTTAAGTGTCAGGGCACTGTAGCTGGCGCTTTTCAGACAGCACTTCATAATCCTTATGGCAATCTGCAGACACGTTTTAAGGTAAGTTCCCTGAGGTCGGGGTGGGGGGGCTATGGCACAGCTGGTTAAGCTGGTGCTTGAGACACCTGCATTTCACGTTGGAGTGCCAGTGTGAGTCCTGGTGACTCTGGTTTTGATTCAGTGTTCTGCTAATGTGTCCCAGGAGCCAGCGAATGATGGTTCAAGTGCTTGGAGACCCAGATGGAGTTCTGGGATTCAGGCTTCTGCGGGCATTTGGGGAGTGAACCAATGGAAGGAAGAGCTCGCTTTGTCTGTCTCTGTCACTCTGCCTTTCAAGTAGATTCAAATAAATAAAACATAAACATTAAAAATAAGGAAATCTGAGGTTAAGAGGTCACACAGCTGGTAAATCACAGAGCTGGCATTTGAACTCAGGTCCATCTGACTGTGAATCCATTTTGTCTCCTCTCTTCTCGCTCTCTCTTTCTTTCTTTCTTTTTTTTTTTTTTTTGACAGGCAGAGTGGACAGTGAGAGAGAGAGACAGAGAGAAAGGTCTTCCTTTGCCGTTGGTTCACCCTCCAATGGCCGCCGCTGCAGCCGGCGCACTGCGCTGATCCGATGGCAGGAGCCAGGAGCCAGGTGCTTTTCCTGGTCTCCCATGGGGTGCAGGGCCCAAGCACCTGGGCCATCCTCCACTGCACTCCCTGGCCACAGCAGAGGGCTGGCCTGGAAGAGGGGCAACCGGGACAGAATCCGGCGCCCCGACCGGGACTAGAACCCGGTGTGCCGACGCCGCTAGGCGGAGGATTAGCCTAGTGAGCCGCAGCGCCGGCCCTCTCTCTCTTTCTTAAGATTTATTTATTGGGGGTGGCGCTGGGGTATGGCAGGTTAAGTATCTGCCTGTGGTGCCAGCATCCCACATGGGTGTCAGTTTGAATCCTGGCTGCTTCACTTTTGATCCAGCTCCCTGATGATGGCCTGGAAAAACAGTAGAAGATGGTCCAGGTGCTTGGGCCCCTGCACCCACATGGGAGACCCGGAAGAAGCTCCCGGTTCCTGGCTTTGGATCAGCACAGCTCTAGGCATATGGCCATTTGAAGAGTGAACCAGTGGATGGAAGACCTTTCTCTCTTTCTCCCCCTTCTCTCTGTATGTCTGCCTCTCAAATAAATAAATAAATAAATCTTTTAAAAAAATTTACTTATTTACTTGAGAGGTAGAGTTACAGAAAGAGAGGGAGAAAGAGAGGATCCAGATCTCCCAGGTGGGTGGTAGGGACCCAAGCATTTGGGTCATCTTCTGCTGGGTTCCCAGGTGCATTAGTAGAGAACTTGATCAGAAGTGGAGCAACAGGTACTTGAATGGCCTCTCTCTCTCTCGCTCTCTTTCTCTCTCTCTCTCTCCTCAGGGGTCCAAGGACTTGGGCCATCTTCTGCTGCTTTACCAGGAGCATTAGGAGGGAGTTGGATCAGAAGAGGAACAGCTAGGACTCAAACTGGCTGCTACTGCAGATGGTAGCTTAACCCACTATGCCAAGTGCTGGCCCTACAAAGCTCTTTCTTTCTTTTTTTTTTTTTTTAAGAGATGTATTTATTTATTTATTTGAAAGTCAGAGTTACACAGAGAGAGAAGAGGCAGAGAGAGAGAGAAAGAGAGAGAGAGAGAGAGAGAGAGAGAGAGAGATCTTCCATCCACTGGTTCACTCCCCAATTGACCACAACGGCTGGAGCTGGGCCAATCCGAAGCCAGGAGTTGGGGGTTTCTTCCGGGTCTCCCACGTGGGTGCAAGGGCCCAAGCACTTGGGGCCATCTTCTACTGCTTTCCCAGGCCATAACAGAGAGCTGGATTGGAAGTGGAGCAGAAGGACTTGAACGGGTACCCATTTGGGATGTCCGTACTGCAGGTGACAGCTTTACCAGCTACACCACAGCGCGGGCCCCCAAAGCTTTTTCTTAAAAGGGTGTGAAGTCTCCTGAATTTTGGTCCTGTTCTAATCTGAGGGTTGCTATTAAGTTTTTCCTTTTGCCTTCTAGCCATTTCATCTTCCTATATTGTAGGTTGTTGTTTAATTACTTGTTTTGCTCTGTGCTCACCCTACCTCTTGCATCCTTTGGCCAAAGGGATGGAACGTTTGTCCTGCCTTCTGATTGTGTCTGAGGCTGCACCATAGAATGAAAACAGTATGGTAGCTGCCCTTGCCTGAGAACTGGGCAGATATGATTCTGGAGAATGTCACACCCCAAACTCCCGGGCTTCAGTAGTGATAGGGAAGTCATTTTCTTTATTTAACAATTAATTGGGTGTTTATTTACTAGTTACTGTGCCAGACATTGGCGATACAGCAATGATTTAGACCCTTGCCTTTATAGAACTAACAGCTGGAGTAAACAAGAGGCTAATATATAATTTTATTTATTTATTTTTATTATTTTTTTTTTGACAGGCAGAGTGGACAGTGAGAGACAGAGAGACAGAGAGAAAGGTCTTCTTTTTCTGTTGGTTCACCCCCCAATGGCCGCTCCGGCCGGCGCGCTGCTGCCAGCGCTGCGCCGATCCGGAGCCAGGAGCCAGGTGCTTCTCCTGGTCTCCCATGCGGGTGCAGGGCCCAAGGACCAGCCATCCTCCACTGCACTCCCTGGCCACAGCAGAGAGCTGGCCTGGAAGAGGGGCAACTGGGACAGAATCCGGCGCCCCAAGCGGGACTAGAACCTGGTGTGCCGGCACTGCAGGCGGCGCCAGCCTAATACATAATTTTATATTGTAATTAGTGCTAGATGCCGTGAAAGGAAGATTAAGGACAGATTTATTCTAGATAAGGCTGTCAGTCACCATTCAAGGGAGCAAAAAGTCGAGGTTCTGACACGAGGTAGTTGCTAGCAGTGCAACCCTGGGTCTCTTAAGCTTGGGACCTCAGGCCCACAGGCTCCCTCTGCGCTTAGCACCCGCCCCACCGGGGACTGAGATCTGCGCAGGCGCGCTGACGGTTGCCATGGTGACAGCTGCTTCGGCGCAAGCGCAGAGGCCTTCAAGATGGCGGCGGTGGCGGCTGCTCGAGCGGTTCCTGTGGGCTCGGGATTCCGGGGTCTGCGACGGACTTTACCTCTGGTAGTGATTCTCGGGGCCACCGGCACTGGCAAATCCACCCTGGCATTGCAGCTAGGCCAGCGGCTCGGGGGCGAGATCGTCAGCGCAGACTCCATGCAGGTATGACCGCGCGGCTGACCCCAGGTCTGGGAATCCCGGCGGCCGCGTGCAGGCCTCTGGCCGAAGTGGTCTCCCTATCGCGTGGTGGTGGTGGTGGGTGAACCCCGAGCTTGCGGGGGGCAGAAAGGGTAGGTGGAGCGAGCCTGTACCCAACTAGGCGCCCACCATACGCCAGACACAGTGCCGAGCGTTCCCTTTCATCGTCGCGTTAACTTCTCCCGTCGTTACCATGGGTTGGCTACTGTTGTTAGCTCCAGTATAGGCTCCTTAGGGAATTGGAGCCTAGGGAGCTGATACGATTTTCCCCGTGTCACACAGCGAAGAAGTGGAAGAGATGATATTCGAACCCACAAGGTTGACATATAGGCGTCCATCACGTATTTGTTGAATGAAAATTACTCTAGAGGTTTTGCTAGAATCCCACCCTTAACCCAGCGAGACCAGGTTGAGTCGGATACCACCTGTGAGCGTCTTCTGGGGGACTGTAATACCGTGGACAGGCAGGAGACCTGGATTCCAGTCCGGAATCTCCACTTGGCCACGTGGTTTAGATGAATAAAATCTATTAGGACGTTGCTTTATTTATGTGTAAATGGAGAAAATATCTCCGAGGACTGTGGTGTTTAGTAAATGAGATCTCGAGTGTTAGAATGAAAAACAGTGGCCTGTTGCAAAGAAGACCAAGGCACGACATAAATGCTTGTTGAAGCTGAGGTTTTTAACTTTCCTGGCTGATCTGAGTTGAGGGGGCTTTGTCCTCTTCTTTGAGCTGGGAGGCTCAGAGGAAGTGTAGAATTCAGGGCATTTGGGAGCATTTGTGCCCCGTGGAGGGTGAATGACATTCTGGGTAAATCTCTAGTGGAGGGAGTACAAGAGCTGTTTGTGGAAGAGAATTACTACTCCCAGTCTTCACAAGATGAATGAGATATTGGGCATAAAATGCCTAGCCCTAAAGCTAGCATCTGTTCTGTACTCAGCAGGGAAGGGCAGTCCTTGTCCCCATTCTAAGCCTCCAGGCATGGTTTCTACCCTCCTTAGTTTATTTGGGGTGGTAAGGGCATCAACATATGTGAAGACATAGGGTAATTCAACAAGTATTTGCAAGCCTACTCTGTGGAACTTAAGGAGACAGAAGTTAACTTAAATCCTGACTCTCTTTTCTAAGATAAATGACTTCAGCCTACCCTCTTCTTGCCTTTGTTTCTTCTGTAAAGTAGGAAGAATATCAATAACACAACATTCTTGTGGTGACTAAATGAGATAAAGTATGTGATGCACTTGATATGTGTATGGCACACAGTAAGAGCTAAAAATATGGTAGCTGCTATTTTCTTCAAGGCTGTGTTGGAGAGACAAAACCATAATCCCTATCCTCAATGTTTAGTCCTGCTGACCTTGTAACAGGGCAGAGATAATAAGTGAACAGAGATGTTAATGATGCTTTCAAGGTGGGTGGGGTTGGGAGAGGAGAGACTGCAAGTGCTAGATATTATGATAAACTATTAAGTTCTATGTAAATTCAGAGACAGGAGAAATGAATGAAGTTGGACATATTTGGAGAAAGTTCTGTGTAAAATGGCTTGAAAAATAGGTTTGGATAGGTGAGGTAGAAGAAAAGATATATCAATGGAAAGAACATGAATGAAGGTTTAGAAGTTGAAGTGGGCATAGTGTGACGATAGGACAGTGAAATGAGACTGTTCAGTGGGGGAGGTGTTGTAGGTGGGGAATGGGAGATGAATAATGTGATGAGGGCATTTTATAAAGGGCATTTATTTGAGACCAGTAGGCATGGTGAGTTGGATTGGAAATGAGTGGGAGGAGTATTAAAAAAAAATCCAAGTGTGGTGTAAT